CAAGATTACAATTTTCGTTATTAATTATTTAATAATTAATCATTAATAAGCCCAATTTAATTGCTCAATAAAATTCTTCTTGTTCTTCTCTTAAGTTATTACACTAATGAAGATAAAATAATTGTAGGTTCGACCCAAAATAATTTTTTTTAATGTTTTTTCAAAATTTTCATTTTCAACTTCTTTTGGTCTGTTGTCGACGTTTTGGTCTGGGACATTCTTATTCTCAGGATTTTCCCGAAATTAATGAGTAATCTGAAACCTCTGCCATTGGTGGTGCAAATTTAGAATCCTTAGCAGTTAAATGGTTTTGTAGGCATTGCAATGGGTGATAAGTGAAGATCCTAATTAAAAAAATATGCCAATAACATTGAATATTTTTTGTCACAGATTGCGTACAAGAGATGCAATCTCGCGCCTTATCACCGAGGATCTGCGATGGAGTAATAGACTGTCAGGATTTGTCAGATGAATTCTCGTGTTCTTACTGCCCTAGTGACCATGTTCATTGCGGTGTCGGTCGTGTCTGCATTCATCCTTCGAAAAGATGCGATGGAAGAGTGCAATGCCCCGACGGCAGTGACGAAAGAGGTTGCTGTACGTATTTCTTCAAATCATTTTTATTCCTCATTCTTCTGTTGTTTTTTTTATTTTTATTTTATTTAATTCTTACCTAGAAACCGCACACCAGAAATCAGATACTTATCTCCGTAATTCCGTAAGAACTTGCAGTAAATTATCCGGTTAAGTTATTTTCTGGAATGAAGTTCTGTTCTAGGAAGTAAAACGGTTTGAAGTGTTTCTTAGAAGTCAAAGAAAAACTTTTCATGGTGCAATAAATGGTCGAGGAAATAAAGCACAGGAATAGGTTAAACCTTCGAATTTATGTGCAGTAAGTGGAATCGAGATGCGATTTTCTGCATCCGATTCATGAGACCGTCTACAAACTTTGTAAACATTTCTCTTCAAAAATGCATTGGTCCATAAGAATAATGCAGTCTTATAAGTGCATTACAAAGTTGTTATAAAAAAAATGCAATTCGATCAATAATGACAGAAATAAGTTACTCGGGGGTTTTGAAGGTCACCGAATACGAATATGCGAGGTACCTGGGGACCAGGGCGACTCTCACACACGTCGTTTCCAGCAAAATATTATAAAAGTATAAAAAAACAGTGTATTCAAAAAATTTTATTTATTTAAAGCATTATCTTTAAAAAAAACACCTACTTAATATCATTTATCAAATCATTATAATTCGATTAATAGATAAAGAAGTTACTGATCATCGGACCCAAAATACCTCGGAGGTCGTCGCCAGTTATACTTTCGTGTTCAGCGGTCTTTAAAACCCCCGGGTAAATAATTTCGATTGATTTTTAAGGAATTTAAAACATAACTCCTGGAGACGACGCGTATGATGGTCGCTCTGAGTCCTACGTACCTCGGAAACAATCGCCGACTGCATATTCCTTAATCTTCAAAATCAGAATTTCCGAGTAACAAAATTGGACTTGTTATGTCATTATTGACCAATTTTTTTTTATTTATATAGCAACTTTGCAATGGATTTAAATATTGCATTTTTCTTATGCACTTATGCATTTTTGAAAATGAATTGATCTCT